CAAGGGAGACGCAGAGAGAGAACTCGCTTGCCAAAAATGTAGCTCGGGTTCAAATCCTGGCGTGGGTTAAGTTTGATGGTTCCTTCCCTTGCTCAGAGACTGGAGGTCAGTTTTTCTGGTTCTCCAGTTTTCAACTCTCCTTAAAATTATGGAACGCACGGACGTAATAAATGTAAGTGCTTCGATGGAACATGAGTTACAAGAACAACAATAAATGAACAGTGACCTCTAAGACAAACGGTAAACGTGCATTTCTATACCACATGACCAAATTTCCCCTCTTTTTGTCGCTCACGCTTCATTACTTCTACATAAAACTTAGCAGTTTCACCTAGGTTTTATCCATAAGAATTGTTTTGAGCCGTTGTTATTGTTGTGATATGATTGAGAGCCGACACGTGTTAAAAACTCAATGGCCATACTTTTATCCTTCCGTTATGCTCAAAGATATTATTCCTCTCGATATTCACAGTCTACGCGATTACGATCCAGTGTATATGAAAGCTTGACAAATGTGCGATAGCTTACACCGCGTTGGTACCTCCAATTCACGCCAAAATCCCGTCTAACATATTCCACAATTGTAGCATTGGTCTTGGACTTTCTGATCCAGTCGATTAATCCTGTATGGAGGCCGATTTTTCCTGTGGGGAGGGGGTCTGTGTACAGGCTATTTTGACCTTTCCTAGAAAAAAAAATGAAAACGAAGCAAAACAACTTTCAGGAAATTTTACAGAAGTTTGAATGTTTCATTTACATGAAATCAGTTTATTAAGTAAAACATATTACAGTCTTTGCGACTCAACAACATAGCGATTTCTTTCAAAGTCAATACCAGTGTTTTTTTTACTCTTCGGGAAATAGTTTTTGTTTACATCATGCCAGGCATGATTACATTAATGCAAAGCACATATAAATTGAACGCAGAACATGCTATGAGTATCTATTTTCCAAGAATTTTGAGGTTTTTACTTCTCATAGATGCTTTCTTTATGCAAGCTAGCAACTAAATCGCCACTGAATTTTTGATTTTATGATGATGATTACTCAATCAATCAATCAATCAATTTATTAACGTCAATCAGGAGCCGATTACTGAGTAAAGTTGTTGGCCAATTTCTCTCTTTCGTTGCCATTTTTTTCTCACTACAGAAATATGCGGGCGTTCGCGACAACACATTAATTTCGCGGGAAAGCCTGTTCTCAAAATAATTCTTTACGGGAATCGGTTGACTCAAGGGTACAGCACGTATGGAGGCTCCAAGTAATCGGCTCCTGCGTCAATACGTGGGATGGGGTTGCCCCGATCATCCGAGCCAGAGGCTCATGTATAAAACGCATGACAATAAAAATACTAAGTCAATAAATATACAATGCACTTGAATAAAAAAATAAATTAAAATAATTTAAAAAGATCATAAATGTATGAAAACAAATAGCTTTGTGCATTCACGGATATATTATTGTTACACTCACCCGAATCCCACTGAATTAATTAAAAACTAAAAACGGTAAGAAAAAGTTTAAAACCGTAAGGACAAAAAAACAAAAAAAAACAGATATAGTAAAACCGTAAGATATACAAAAATTACATTTTACAACTGGCTCTTAAGATTAAAAGATCTTAAATGCTTACGATATTCGCTCAATTCAGTCGATCTCTTGATGTAAGAAGGAAGCTGACTCCACAAATGTGAAGCCTTGTAAGTGAAAGAATTGTGATAATATCGATTATTATAGGATGGTTGAATGAGATTGTGATCGCTGTTCCTTGAATTGTAGCGCAATATACGAGGTTCGAATAAATCAGAAATATAGTCAGGCCCATTTCTTTTATGCATTTAAAAAGGAGGGCAAGAGATTGATAGTACCGTCTATGTTTCAGTGATTGCATGTTTACAGCAGACAATATGGAATCATAATCTAAGCTGTTTCCGAAATTTAAGAGGGCTTTTAAAACATAATGATTTGCAGATTCAAGTTTCTCGTTCAAAGTTTTGTTAAACCCTAATAGTAATGGACTACAATATTCAAGGTGTGGAAGTATATAAGCCTTGTACAGCGTGAGATATCAGCAGACACCAGCTTTCTAAGTCGTCTCAGAGCTCCAACATTGGCATAGACCTTCCTTAAAACAGTTGATAGGTGGTTTTCAAAGGACAACTTACTATATAGAAAAATAACTTACTTCACTATTTACTATCTGGAAAATAGAAAACCACTGTCTGCACATTTATGTTGCGGAGCCAAGTGTTCAAGTTCTGATTGGCCCAAAAAAACATAACAAATACTTTTGTCCCCACTTAAATTCAGGCCTTCGTTTGCAATGAGAGAAAAAATGTTAGAAGAGTGTCAAGTGACACACTAAACATATCAAAGAGGCAATGAAAAGTTAACCTGCCAATGGATGTCATGGTTAAAGGAAAACAAAAATTGTTTGCCAATACATGTCAAAGGAAGGCAAAGTAAAAAGCCCCACCAGGGGAGTGTCAATAAACTATTGCATTGTGTTCGCATCGATCCGTAAACGACTCTTGCTCGGCAATAAGAAAGGCGAACAGGGTGGCCATGATGAACATTTTAATAGGCTGTGTGAAGAGCACGTCTTCTACGAGTGATACCATTATGGACGAAAGCCACCGTACAGATTTGTCCCATCCGAACTCCATTCCAAAGATCACAATTGACGCTGATAAGAAAGGCGAACTGGGTGGCCATGATGTACATTTTAATAGGCTGTGTGAAGAGCACGTCTTGTATGAATGATACCATTATGGACGAAAGCCACTGTACAGATTTGTCCCGTCCGAACTCCATTCCAAAGATCACAAATGACGCTGATGTGCAAGTGGCGATAAATGCGATGACGTATGCTACGTACACGAACCAGTCTGGTAAAGCAAACTTCCTAGAACTCTTTTTCTTTTCCTCCCCTGTCTCGATATCAACTCCATCGCCCTCACTTTTTCCTGACTTCACTTCATATTGGCTTGCCTTTGGTTTGGCTTTTCGGAATATAGTCTCAATGATTAGACTTGCTGGAAAGACGATCATGCTGCTCATGATTGCAATGGAAACCTGCCGGATGGAAAAACTAAATCCCATAATCTTAATGGCGTTTTTAGGCGTTTCGTTCTCTTCCACTCGGTAAAACATGGCGTTAGCAATCAGTGTCGTTATGAGAATGAACAAACAGCAGGTCAAACGTTGCACGCGAGTAAAGTTACTTCGCGGCGGCCGAGCAACAACTGAAAACCAAATATGGCCGTCAGTTAGGTTCTTCCTCACTTCAGATGTGAACAGTACGTTAAACTTGGTCAGGTCTTTCTTGGAAGCAGGATACAGAATCCTCTCGATTTTGCCATCGCCTTCGTCGACAGGCAACCAATCATCACAGACGAACCACCATCGTTGATCGGTCTGCGGATCCTGAATCATTACCCCGAGGAGATTCCACGAAAAAAGAAAGAGAAAGTTGTCAATTGCCTTATAGTCAACTAGATAGATAGATAGATAGATAGATAGATAGATAGATAGATAGATAGATAGATAGATAATCTTTAGATAATCTTTAGATAATCTTTATTTATCCACGGTACAAAATTCGTCAGCTTTAAAAATGCCTAATACTAATATAATAAAAATATTTAAATAAAAAAGCTGCTTTCCACGAATGTCGTGCCTTACAGTTCTTTGAGTAATCGTTTAAATTGCCCAAGGGACTCTGCTTCCCTTAAGTTACAAGGAAGACTGTTCCAGAGAATGGCGCCACTATAGCTGAAGCTGTTTTTTGTAATAGTTTGTGCCCGGTAATGGAACATTGAGTTTATTTTCAGAGTCCCTTAGGTTATATGCGACTTCTCGCCTTTCAAATTTAGAACTAAGATAGTTTGGAGCCAACCCGTGCAGAGACCTGTAAACCATCGTAGCTCTTTGAATTTGTTGCTGGCAAACTAGGATTTTCCACCCTAGAAGTTTGAAAAGGTGACCAGCATCTACGTCATAGCTTGAGTTGGTCAAAACACGGGCTGCTCTGTTTTGTAGCTTTTGAACCTTATTCTGTAAAGTTATCCCACAGTTTCCCCAAACAATGTTGCAATAATCAAAGTGTGGCTGTGTTAAAGCTTGATATATTAGTTGTAAGGTCGCCTGAGGGACAACGTGCCTTATTCGTTTTACGGCCCCAATACCAGAAGCGACTTTCTTTGTTACTTTCTCAGACGGACATCTTTGCAGTGACCGGCGCTATGTGACCTGTGACGTCTTAAAGACATGCCTGTCTTATAGAGAGTTAACTAAAAGGAGGAACGAAAGGCAGAAAGGCAAGGGGCAACCCTAGGTGACCGTTTTGGCGAGGTTTGAGGCGTCTGTCTTAGAGAGAGAGTTAACTGTATGTTTATTCAGGTAAATTCGCCTTCATCGACTGGAACAAAAATATGGAATGAAATATCTTTGACGCTAAGGTCTCTAGCATGACCGTGAGATGAATCGCTTCGTATCAATATCAAACGAGAGCAAGGGTTATCAATCGGTAAAATCCTTCACTCATAACGACTGCTAAAACTAATTCAAAACAAATGAAAAACAGTTTTTATCCTTCGCATACTATTCTCAGGCATTCCATACAAGGTGAACAACATTTTATGAAGTTGACAAGTGATTATCCTTCTTTAGCTACGATACTGAAATAGTGAAATCTCTAATTAAAATAATATGTATACGTTCTCGCGCTGTGAAACTGAGCGTTCGCAAATGAACTACGGGAGACCCTCAGAAGAGCAAGATTTTTTAGTCTTAAAAGGTTTGACACGTTGGTGCTTATTGTTCTCTTTTTTATTTTCCTGAACTAAATTTAATTCTAATTCTAAATCTAATACTGTGCAAAACTCCCACATGGGGTATATGTGCTCAGATCCATGTAATTCAGCAAATGAATTTCTTCCGTGTATTTGAAATCCAAACAACATTTGACTATAGATTTCAGCGAAAAAATACAAACCTGTTTTGAAATTTTTCCTGTTAGGGTCTTTCAAGACACGTGGCTCGCTGTCTCCAAGACTTCCACTTAAAACAATTGACACTTCAGCGCTTGTTCCTGCACCGCGCGTAAATCCTGTGTGGACGTGTATCTCATAACAGTACGTATCTCGAGAGTTATTGTGTGGTAGTGGGGTGACTGCAGTCTTTCAGTATTCAACGACATAAAGGGAAAATAAAAAGAAAGAAATCAATAAAAGCAAAACAATACGATAGCTAGGGGAGGCGAGTGACCTTCTACCCGAGATATGTGTTCCCCATATAAATAACGCGTCCCTTGTAAGCAGGCTGCAGTAGATTGTTGTTGCAATAATGTTGACAGTTGCAGTTTATTGTCAAGGAAGGGAACGCCGACGATAGATATTGTTCACGATAAACGCCATCTTTGCATGCGGCCGCCTGAGGACTGATGGTTTCTTTATGATCCCTTGAGAGACCACGTGATATCGTTACACTCCAAAAATGGGTCTTCGGCAGTACGCAAATTAAAAATTTTCGTACTAAAAATTGTGGTAGAAATGGAAAAAGTACTGAGAATAAATTAAGTAATTTCAAAACTCAATAATAATTTATAAAGAAAAATTAAAGAAAAGAAATTAGTGTTTAATGCGTGTCTTTATATCTGATAAAGACACGGCTAAACTTTACATCCAATTTTTTAGACCAAAATAACCCCAAATCTAAATATTAGTTCAAGAATGAGTTGATCTATATCAGAGATTTTGAAGCCGTTGAATAAACTTGCAGTCGTGTATTATCAGGTGTAAAAAATCTCGGCTTCGCCTCGAGTTTTTGCCGTGATTATAAACTCCTGCTCGTTTTTTAAACAGTACATAAAAAACTAAGCTAAAATATATGCAATATGTCTAAGTGTTTTAAGTTCACGGTCGGTTTCAAAGCAGTACAAATCGTTTTTTTTTCTTAAAAGCCTTTGCTGAAGGAACAGTTCTGAAATCGACGGGAAGTGAGCCCCAAAGGTTTGCTTCCGGAAAAGCAACCTGGCCAATAAAAAGCCGATATAGCAGATTAAGCGTTATTAACGACAGATCGAGGTTGTCTATTGTGGACCTGCGATCTATAGGTGAAGCAATTCTTACGCAAGTCTCCAAGATGGCGGTTATCTAAAAATTGGTCTATTGCTCTACCTATGACAGCCTACCTGGAGCGCATCCCTTTTATCTGCTCTTCTTGCAGGGATGAGACATATCAGGTAGAGGCCCAGGATCACACAGACAAAAATCAAGGCGTGTGGGCTATCCAGTAGCTGCTGCACACTTACCTTGTCAAAGTTGATCTTGTTTGGTGGAACGGAGAAGCTGCTTCCGAATGTTGTCAGATGTGTTGTTAAGCACTCGGTAGACATCAAATTAGTTTTGGGACAAACAAAGGCAAAAATTGATGAATCGAAAATAAGCTTAGTTTAGGCCAGTTCAGTTAGTTTTCGAACCGGTAGTAGCTCAGTGTTTTTTTATGTTAGTAGGAATGTCTTCTCAGATTTTGGTTATGGCAAACTAAAATGAGCATTCGCAACAATTTGACCTTACACGTAAGACATGAAAATTAAGATTTGGGGCATATCTGGTATTGTGTGAGTGAATATCAGGCACCTTTATGAGGTTGATTTTTGAAACCGACTTCAGGTATATTGGCTTCATTTTGTGGGATTTTTTTGGCTAGCAAGCAGGTTTTAAGTTAAAAAATGTTGTATATATTGAGCATGTCTAGAAGTTTGAGGTACGGCTAAACATTATGCAACGTATACATTTATTTAATCATTCAATTAAGTAAACACGGTATTTGACAGGAATTTCTTAGAATGTCTGCAGGTCGATGTAAGTTCTTTTCTATGATTGAGTGATGACATTTCCGGGTTACATATAATAAAATATTTTTTCCACAGACACAGATTACCTTTTTTGATGATATTAGAATACGATCAGGCTTGCCTTATTTTACACCAATTAATTTCATAGCTAATTTCCATGTCTTTTAGGCTCCTTATGAGCTTGCGTTGTATTTTTGTACCCTTCATTCCTGAAGGAGCAAGTGTGATTTCTCTATGTCTGTATGTATACATATATTTTTTTCTGGCAAATAAACAAACTGAAACTGAAACTGAAACTTAATTGACGCATTTTTTGATTGAATGAAATCTTGTCTAGACATCTAAGAAAAAGGGCGTGAAGATATGGACGAAACACAATGCTTTCAACCATACCAGACTGCTCCCTTAAGGAGACCCTCGAAACAAAATGAAGGCAAATTTACACATAGAAGGAAAATAGTACTAAAACGCAATGTTGTCGATCATGCAGGTGCATTTGGCTCATCTTGCTTAGGACGCTCTTTTTACACCAAAACGAGGCTCTACCTCGAAGAACACTAAAGAACCTCCCAAGCAGGAGGAAACCAACAGGCTCCAGTTTCTATATACTGACGACCTGTACTTTTAACAATTTTAGAGTTTATGTCGGCCCCCGTGCGGGCGGACCGGTGTGGGTGGGAGCTCTGCAAAGACTCTGCTCCAGTGGCCTATATGTGAGTAGGGGTAGCAGGGTCTCAGGCGGCCATTTTTGCCTGTTTACATTTTTTAGTTTTGTACCTTGTTACAACAACTGTTCGAAAATCGCTTTTAAATTTGCACAGATATACAACTATCTAGTTTGGACTGTTACTTTTGAGGTAACTGCCCTAAAGAGAAAAACGGGGAGGGGGGATTAAAGGAGCCATATCACGAAGATACTGCAGCTATTTTTATGGGTCAATTCTGTTCTTAAATCATTACTTCGTGCACTGAACCATGACACAAAATGCTCCTGTAGAGTTATGAAGAAGATATAAAAAAAATTTCATCAAGGAGCACAAGCCATAATATTTTTTAGAGCATTAAAACTTGACGTTGGACCAACTTTCTAAAGTTTCCATTCATTTCCATCCTTGCAATCCATAGTCTGCTACACAGCCGGTTTTAGTGTCGTCACGCAACGTTCCTCCCCACGAACGGCTGCTGAGAATCGAACCACATTCCTTTCCCTTTTTCCTTAACCCTATTCAGACTGGGGGGGGGGTTTGGCAAAATCGTGATAACTCCTACACCGAAAGAGCTATGACGTTCAAATTTTCTGACTTTTCCTAACATTTATCTAGAAACATTTTGGCATAATTACCATGTCCATGTGATTAATCATGTTGCCATGGCAACCAGTTTCTGACACATAGGTTTTGGAAAATTTAAAAAATGGTGATTTTTTTGTTTTAAGATCGCGTTTTGACACTTATAGTGCTTTTTGTTGTTAAAATGGTCTTTGCTTGGGACTAGTTTTTGAATTACATCAAAATGTTTCAACATCGAATATTTGGGGGGAAGGGGTGGGGTAAAATTTGTCACTTTTTTGCTTTGACAAATATGCTGCTCTATTTTCCAAATAACACTTCCAAAGTCATTTGTTTGGGTAATAAACATTAGTTTGATACTTCTTTTATACATTCTGAGCTTTTTCCCCTTTGAAAGTTGCTCTAAATTATAATTTTAACAAAAAAACGGAAATCCAAGATGGCGGATCCAAGATGGCGGACAACCATATGTATTTCTTGGCAATTATGACGTCATTAGCACCTTTAAAGTATCAAAACACATGTCAAAGTGTGTATTTTATATGCATATATGTTGTATATTATATTAAAGAGATAACTTTACCAATATTATTGATATTTTACGTATCTAAGTGGAAAATCGGAATATGACGTCACTGTGACGTCCTCATCGGGCGTGGCAAGTCAAAACTGGGTGTGGGGCTTCTTTGTACGGAGATGATCATTGTGTGTAAATTTCATGACCCTAGCATTATTGGTTCCAGAGATACGGGGGGGGGTCCGAGGAGCCCCCCCCAGTCACAGATTGACCAAAAAAGCCCAGTCTGAATTAGCCTGCGAAAACATCCGTTTCTCCTCGCTCTTCGCCGCTGGGGACGTTTCGCGAGGAGGAACGTCTGCGACTCGGGGGCAGAAATTCCATACTGATGACGCAAATCAATGTTTACATAATAAATCCGGTAGTCATGGGGTTTCAAATACAAATTTGTCCAATTTTACATGTCTTCTGGTCGATTTTGGTTAAGTTTTGAGTTTATCTGCCAACGAGCTCCAGCAAAACTCAAACACTTCCTCTAGAGAAGAGTATATTCCACAAATATTGACTGTTTTGCTCTAAATTCTTCGCGTTTACATTTGACCTTTGTGGCCTTTTGTCTTTTGTCTGTCATTCGTAAACAATAGCTAAAACAATGTAACTACTCCGTCGACCAATCAATGCTTCTGACCGGATTCCGGACAGATTTTACGTCATCAGTATGGAATTTCTGTCGCTGAGTCGCAGACGTTCCTCCTCGCGAAACGTCCCCAGCGGCGAAGAGCGAGGAGAAAGCAAGTCTGAATAGGGTTAAAAGTTTGCTTGAAAATTAGAGGTCTTTCAATAGATAGGGGAAGTGTGACGTCATGTTACCATGGTAGCAAAATTTTTGGATCACAACAATAGGGAGCTTAAGCGGTGACGACGGCGACGGCAACGAGAATGGCAAAAAAGCAATTGGTTAAAATTAGCACAAAAAAAACTTTGCACTTTGTACATATCTTAGCCGTCGTTGCACAACTGCGACATGAAACTTTCTGATTTCACCTGCCCGCTTTATGGAGTACGTGAACTAAACACAAGTTTTTTCCAAACTTAGATACGGTCCTTTCGAATCTAACCCAAGAAAATTTCACCAACATTGGACACATTAAAGAGCGACAAAATTAAGTTCGAAACAGTGCGAGTTCACTTTTCACGTGACGTTTTTGGTTTGTTGTCATCCAGAAATTTTGCTACCTTGGCAAAGTGACATAACGACTTCTCCTCGCTATTGAGGACACTGAAAAGAGCTCGCAAAAAGCACGTACATGAATTAGAACATCACAAAATCAGTAGATGCTCCGTTTTTACGTACGTCACCGTTTTTAAACAACCTACGTTCAGTTCACCCGTCCACACTAAAGACGTTTTCAAAAGACGTTTCAAACAGTTTTCAAAAATGTTCGTTTTGATCAGCGTTTTCGGGCGTTTTTGTGTGTATGTTAGACGAAAACGCATAAAAACGTATGCGTTTTCAAGCGAGCACGCACTAGAGTGGATTGCGCTGAGGGCTAGTTATCAAAAGGTTATAGATTCGGCACCTGTTTGGAACTTTTTTTCCTAATGTCCTGTTTCACTGTAGAGTTGACTTATTTCGCTTTTCTAGTAAAGAGGTAATGCGCATTTTTAATCTCATGCAGAGATCTGAATATTGTAGTTTGACACAACATCAAGATATAGTGTACCAGTACAAGCTATGTTACATAGGTCGTTCCAATAAAAGGAATGTGCTATTTTTATTTTAAGTTCGATGATGCAAAATAAGATACCGTTATGGGTACAATGGAACCTAGATACCGTAAAGGAGAGGGAAAATTTGTTCGCTTTAACGAGGTTTCGTTATATCGAAGTTCTTTTCCATATATTTTACTATTACTGGGGTAAAGAAAATAGTTAGTCGAGCTTGCTTTAGCAAAGCCGGACTCTAAATATGCAAGCCTTTTTTTTCCGTCTATCCGTCACTAAAAGGGGGGCATACTCCCAGGCGTTCCTAGCGGAGACTGTGGGAAATGGGGATAAGAATCGTGACGACTTTCATTGTATGCAAATGAGTCTTGTGATGAGCATGAGGTTTATTTTCGGCGATGACTGAAATGACGCATGTAAGTTGAACCTGTTTGGCAATGATGTAATTTTCCCCGAATCGAGGCCCTTGATTTTCGCGTAGCTATGCACGCATATTAAAAAGTAAATACCCCGAGTAAAATTTCTTTTCAGTTAAAAGGCAGCTGCCATTTCAAGTCAAAGTCTTCAAAAATAACGTTAAATATTGATGCCCTGGTAGCCAATCAAATGGCTTTTAAATATATGACGTGTTAGGGAGGGTGTATAAGAAATTTAATACTGTCACAAGATAAACGCAAGAAAAAGGAACTTTTATAATGAAGCTCACTTTGCCCACCTAGCAGACACACTGAACAACACTGAGTTGAATGAAATATAATGGAAACATGAACATGAAAGATTGAAGCGCAATGCATTTTCCATCACAGTCATCATTCGTGTTTCTTTTCTTCATCACTGTAAGTTTGTCACAGGAATTTCTCTCGAGTGAACTGGACATGTTTGAACCTTAATAGTCTTTGCTAGATATTGAGGCTGCTAACTTAATATTTAACTTTTTCGTTGCAGCTAACAAAATTTTCTTTTGCCTGTGAAAAGTGGTCCGATCATGCTACAGGTAAGCTTAGGTA